AACAACAAAACATTATCTGCAAAGTTCAATAAATCGAAGCACAATAAAATGAGATATGCCTGACTTTGCAGAGTAGTCAGTCCTTTCTAGCTTAATATCCCTCCTGTATGCGAGGGGAGAGGGAGAGTTAGAGATAGTTAGAAAATAAGTGAAAGTCCTGCTACAAGGGAATTCATCATAGTCCTTCTACTAGAGAAGTGAGAAATCCCCCAAAACAGCCCCTGCAAACTACCAGTGGATCCTGAGTATTGTCTGCTTGCCTTGGAGTTTGCCAGGGATTTGACACAATTTATGTCTTTCAATCTTTGTCACAACCCTATTAGTTGGAGACGGTTATTATCTCATTTGTGGATGAAGAAATAGATTTGATGAGGTTAAACAACTTTGATAAAAGTCAGTTATCTATTAATAATCATGATAATAATACTTACAATGATAAAGCAAACAATTGCATAGCACTTATTGTAAGCCTGGTACTAAGTGCTTAACATATATCAACAAATTCAAACCCCAAACAATCCTATGAGGTAGGTACTGTAATTATTCTCTCTCTTTTTTAAATAGATAATTAAATCATGACCCAGAAGTATTAAGTTACTCTCCCAAATTACATATCTAGTTAAGTGACAGAACCAGGCTTTAAACCCAGGCATTCTGGTCTCAGAATCTGTGCTGGTGACTACTAAGCTAGTCTAAAACATTACAGAGCCAAGATTTGAACCCTGGCTTCCAAAATCTGAGCTTTGTATCTAAGTGTCACCCTTGAAACATAGCTATTGATATGAATATATTATAGTTTTACCTTTTTGCAATTTTTACATATGAATTTAGAGACTGGATATATTCCATTGATGTGTTAAATATTTTTTTCAACAGCAGAGGATTGTAATTAAAGCAATGGAAAATAAGAACAAAAATATCTGAGTAAATAAGCAATGTGAAATGTTCATCTCTTCATAATTTTGAACTTTCAGGTGAACTTTATTGAAATGTGTTTGCAGATCAGTAAATTAAGTGAACTATGGAAAATTACACTGTTGGCGTCTTTTTCTGCTTGCGCCGCTTAACAAGTAAGTTATCTCAGAGAAAAGCAGCCCTGTATCAAAGCATAGATTATTAAGTGAATTCATGTATATTTACTACTAGTGGGCAGTAATGAATATTCTGCTGATCTTTAGAAATCACTTGTACCTTATGCCAATCAGTACTCAGCAAAATACCACAGACTTCCTTCGTAATTTAATCTTTACTTTTAATCTGAAATTAATTTGACATTTATAATTAGTGGTCTACTATGTGGGTTTTTGTTTTTTGGGTTTTGGTTTTTGGTTTTTTTTGCCTTTAGTAGCTATGCAAACAACAGCTGGAGATTAGAAGACATTTTAATCTTATTATTTTGGTGGTTATTGAATGGTAAAAATATGTCACTACTTTTATGATGTCATTTTTAACTCACATAAGTTTAGACCACTCATTGAAAAACCCTGAGTAATTTTAAACTGATGTTGACATGAAAAAGGATTGCCTGTAATGATAGTGTCTTGTAGCTGTAAGTAGCAGTCTGAAGTAAACATCTTGATCACTTGCCTTTTCCTGTTTGTTAACCTCGAACAGAAACATATTGTTAGGGTCATCTTTAATTCATATGAAAAATTAATCCCCTTTCCCCTCCATTTCAGCCCTGAAAACAAGGTTGGAGATGATAAGCTCGATGCTTGAACTTTTTTTCCTGGCGGGATTCCTACATGGAAAAGTGAAACAACATTCCTAAGAGCTAAGCACCTTGATCACATATCACTTTAGTAACTTCTGTCACCGTCCCTGCAGGAAGGAGCCCCAACACGCAGGACCAGTGTTATCCCAGGGCTGCTAGAACCAGCGAGGGGCTGAGCTGTCAGGACCAGCCCATCTGAAAAGAAGATAACTAAAGACAAAAACTCCCCAGCTAACCTGGATCGCTGATTCCTGGAGGGTCCTCCAAGGCAAGGTGGAAAAGATTATGTGAAATAGCTCTCATATGTTAGGCAGGAAAAATTACTTCTTGCTTCTAAACAGGGAGATTGTAAACAAGGTCTCCCATTTTCACGGAAAAAGCAAGATGCACTGTTTAAAATGCTGCCTTCAGATACAGCTTTCACGAAGTGCCGTTGCATTTGCATTCCTCCACGTAGGTCTAAGAGGGAAGGCGAGAAATGGGACCCATTTACCTCTTGTTTCTGAGCCGCTTCCCGAGTCGGGTGCAACTTGAAGCCTCAATAGGTACGCTCTTTTATCTAAAACCCACACTTCTGCCGTTTCATCCTAAACCTGAAATGAAACAGTTTGGCAATGCCATAATCAAAGAAATAGTCACATATTTCATAAAGATTTGATACCGAGAATGTGAACAAATCAGTATTTATATACTGTCTGTCTTTCCTTATTCTTAAGAATATGCATGAGATGCATAAGATTAATTTGTGTTATTCATAACTTGACTTTTTGAACCTAGTAATAAGCTAATAAGGTTTACAGTTATGCCAATGTATTATTAATTCTAACTGGGTTACAATTTGATGCTTTGAATCTATAAATGTGATAGGTAAGAGTAAGAAAATTTCAAGTATATGTGGTGTCTGTGAGGTAATTATGTATATTTTTATTACATTTTTAGAAAGTTGCTAAATAAGCGTGATGA